CTTTTTGTATTCCGTTTTATCCTGTTTACCATTTTTTCACGTTTTGATACGTTTTTAACCCTCCAAAAGACTATTACATCCTCCCCTTTATAAGCCATCCAACTCTTTCATCGGGGCCTTGGATTCTTCTTTTTCTTCCTCGGACACTTGTCAACTAACAGCACCATCTTCGTACTCGACCCGACTTCAGCTCTTACGATTGAGGGCCAAACCGATTCATCTATTCGCTTATCCAGTGCTGAAAATCCTTGCCCAGCAAGCCCTTAGAATCGTCAGATCCCCTGCTATTTACTTGCTTCATCAACAGTAAGCCATAAACATACTTTTGTTTCTTTTCATTGCGTATACAGTCAAGGCACCACGCCACACTAACAGTCCACCACTCAATTTCCTTCCTCCCTCTCCAACGCATAAAAATTTTTACTATAGCAAAGGCAGAAGAACGCAGCGGCTAAGTAAAAATGACAGCTTCACAATATCTAGGATGACCCTAAGGCAAGGTCCACTTCCCACCAGAAATCCACCCTAGTAACTCAGAGGTTTCACATCAAACTTTTAGGGTTGTTGAATTTCAGTAAAAATAACCAAACAGCTCGATTATTTTAACTGAAGTAGCGGCTAAATTTCAGTACGCCATTTACCTTCTTAACTCAAACGTTACATCTGCGTGAATTCAGTCTTCTACAGAGAAGTGGGGTAGTGCAGGGAATATTCTAAAGATAAAATGTAGTATAAATAAGCTACATAAAAATCGAAAAGTGCACTAAGAATTCAAAACATTTCCTAGATCTGTGGACGAGATAAAAAATGAAAAAGAGATTTTTTTCCGGGAAAAAAGCTCTTCCAGACGCACATTATCATAAAGCAAAACACTACTGATCCGCTGAAACATTTTTTAAAGCAAATCAACGAAGATACCATATTGATTTGCTGGATCATTTCACTATGTGCATCTTTCTCCTCATTCAAATCACTGATTGTCTTCATCGTTTCTTCGATAAACTGCTTGGATTGTTGAAAATCGGCCAAATCAGCAAGCAATTCATTGCGTTTTGCAGCAAAATCTTCCAATTTGATTCTAAATTTTCAAATTTCAGTAAAGTGTCTTTGATTTTGATTTTAGGAAGGCCAATAAAATTTTCTGATCTAAGGAATCCTCAGTGTAATTAGTGAAATCATTCGTTAAACTTTATTTCAGGTGGTGTGCACATACCGAAACGGCGATGGATATTAACAAGAGATATGCAGCTTAGGATCGAAGTATCTGAGATTAGCTGCGCTTAGTGCACGACAGCATCCCAGTAATAATAGTGCTACTACAGGATCCCCACACCGACTGTCCAGGCTATGTCGACATTCTTGACATGAATCAAAAATACGGTAGTATGAATTTCAAAAAGGAAAAAACAACACTTTATATAGCTGTGGTTTTTATTGCTACCACAATTACCAAAACTGCTCGGAAAGTGGTGATGTTAATAATTTTAATGAGAATAAGCCAGGCACAGGTGTGTCAGCCTCTCTGTGTTAAACCACATTCTTCCAGTTGGTATCCATCTCATGTTCGACACATACACTCTTCAAAGGCCAGAGTGGTCGCTAACTTTTCGCAGGTGCCACTTACTGGCGCAAAATGCTCACCAGTTGTTTTTATTGTGCGGTATTATTATTATTTAAAAAAATTCAAATTAGTTTTAAAAAGCCTTCCGATATTAAGCTGCGCGGTTTAGAGCAGTACACTGTTACTTGGATTATACAACAAAAACTTAAATTATAAAAAATTTGATTTATTACACGCGTTATCCCTTCAAAATCCGTCCAAGTGGTTGCTTGTTTTCATGTGGGTACCATTCACTAATACGCAACACCCATTAACTGTCAGCTTGCATAATTTAAGTACATTTTGGAAAACATCACAATAATTTTACTTCTTAGAGTGGCATGATGTAAATAGTGACATCACATTCAAGCGATAATTTTAATGCACTTCATGCTCAGTTTCATTCCCCCTAATTACTGTCTCCAGCTAGG